GCATCCCCCGGCCTTGCCGCCTGGATGGCAGTGGGAGCCCCAGTTCTCCTCAGCTTTGCTGGCAGCCAGCGAGAGCCATTCTTCGCCGAGGCACAGGGTTGAGCCATGATGACTGTTTCCTACACATTGAAAGTTGCCAACTCCTGTTTCGGGGGTTTCTCCATGCTGCTCTTCCACTGGAAAGGCAGCATCTACAAGCTACTGTACAAGGAGTTCATCGTCTTTGTGGTACTATATGCTGTGCTCAGCCTCGTCTACCGGTGAGGTCAGTGTGTCCCTCCCTGCTGACCCTCTGTGATGTGCAGAGATGCCCCATGGGTCATGGACTGGGGTCCCTGCAGGGAGGGGAAGAGCCCAGAGCACTCCCCCAGGGAAGGTGGGTGTAGGCAGAGGAGGGCAAGGACCCTGGCAAGGAGGAGGAAGATCAGGTGATGGCTTTTGTGGAGGTCTGAGGCAGAGCCCAAGCCTGCTGTTCGTCCCGACCCCACTGTGCATCCCTGACCCCGCTGTGTGTCCATCGCAGTGGCTGCTGGCCAAGGAGCAGAAACATCTCTATGCCAAAGCGTCTCAACACTGCAACCACTCCACAGACCTCATCCCCACGTCGTTTGTCCTGGGTATGGCAAACCCTGAACTCGGGAGCCAGAGTCCCCTGCTCCTCCCAACACTGGTGGCTTGAGGATGCTCTCACTGCCCATCCTGACCCCAGGCCAAAACATCCCTCAGACACAGTCAGATGGGGGTTGGAGGAGATGGGTGCACCAGGTATGGCACGTGGCTCCCAGACCCACTGACTGCAGCTCCCTGGCCATGGGGAGGCCAGTGTGAGGCTGTGATTTCCCCTGGCCTGCTCCATCCTCCTCATGCCCAGGAAAGGGCCACCTTATCTACAAGCAATGGCAGTCCTGCCCTGTGCCACCTGCACCCAGGAGAGGGAAGAGCCAGGGATGTCCCCATAGAATCATAGAATGGTTTGGGTTGGAAGGGACCTTAAAGATCATCCAGTTCCAACCCCCCTGCCATGGGCAGGGACACCTTCCAGTAGAGCAGGTTGCTCCAAGCCTCATCCAGCCTGGCCTTGAACACTTCCAGGGATGGGGCATCCACAGCTTCTCTGGGCAACCTGTTCCAGTGCCTCACCACCCATCTCCAACCCTACGAGGGGAGCCCAATGGGAAGCACAATGTGCGCTCTATCTCCTGGCCACAGAGAAATGTCACCCCCGGAAATGTATCAGCTCTCTTGGGATGGACTCGTCCTCGCCTCAACCCAACCCCCAGCCACTCCAAGCCCCCCAAGTGCTGTCTCTCGGCGCAGGTTTTTACGTCATCCTGGTCGTGAACCAGTGGTGGGCCCAGTACACCAGCATCCCCCTGCCCGACCAGCTCATGGGCGTCATCTCCAGCAATGTCCACGGCAAGGACGAGAGGGGCCGGATCCTGCGGCACGCCCTCATCTGCTGCGCTCCGTCAGCACCAGGGTGCTCAAGCACTCCCTCCCCATGGACCAGGTGAGGAGCTAAAGCAGGGCGAGGAGCATCCCCACGAGCATCCCCAGAGGGGACCCTCAGCAGCCTGGCACCGCTGCTCTGCCCCTCACCTCTGAGGAAAGCGTTCAAAAGGGGTAACCCCAAATGCAGCCAGGAGATGGGCCTGGAGCCTCACTGACCCCCTGCACAGCCCAGCCCTACCTCTGTCTGGCTGAGGGCTGGAGAAGCATCTGAAGCCCCTGGTCCTGCCCAAGTCCTTGCAAAACCACCCGTCCCCTGCCTTTCCAGTGCCCAGGTGTCCCTGCTCTCCACGGATGACACGTACCAGAACCTGCCCCCCGCTGTGAAGGACAAATACTGGAAGAGTCCACAGTTCAGCCCCCCTACACCACAAGCCACAGCTGCGGAGACCTTGACGCCTTCGTTCCTGCGTTCCACATTCGACATGCGGCGAGTGCTCCGGGGAACAGGAGGGCGAGTGCTTCGGGGCAGCAATAGCAACAGGTGGCCTTGTCCCCACTGGGCCCAATTACAGCGAGCGAACAGCAACCCCCACCCCTGGGGCTGCATTGCCCAGCCCTGCTGGGGCTTGGGGGCTGTGCTGGGCGATGGATGAGCTGCTGGGGCAGGGACACGGCGTCCCAGAGCTGCTGCCTGCCTGCAAATGTTGGGTGGAGGAGGTGAGTGGCACCGGGTGTCCCCGCAGAGGGTGGCAGCCTGTCCCCATGGCCCTGCCACGCTCCCCCAGCACACGAGGATATGGAGCAGAGCCAGCCAGAGGCCGTGCTGAGCATCCCGCACACCCAGACGCCTCTGCTCAGCCACTTCCCCGCTGATGCAAACCCTGCCATCAGCCTCAAAAACTTTGGTCGGGATGGCCAAGATCACCCCCGCCTGCGGCATCGCCGGAGGGACAGCAGCTTCCCCTCCCCTGACCTGAACTGCTCCAAGGACCCCAAGTCAGTGGCCCACATCGAGGAGAATACGGAGGATGAGGAGAATGGGGCCAGAGAGCCCACCATGCCTGGTGGTCACCCAGGGGGGACCAGGCCACCAGAGGCCTCCAAAACACAGAGGAGCTGCCGCTGATCCAGGTGAAGGCATCCAGGTGAGTGCTGGGGCTGACCAGCCAGAGCCCTGAGGTGGCCCCAAAACACCCCCTTTTCTAGGGGCAGAACAGCTGCCCCCATTCCAAGGCACTGCCACTGCCAGCCACAAAGCTCCCTGTCCCCAGACACCTCCCTTGGACCCACTGACCAGAGCCAGGACATCACCAGGTCTCCTGCCACCCAGCCCCGAGCCAAGATGTGTCCCCAGATTGATGGGAAGATCCTGGTGGGTTTGGGATTGGGCAGGCAGCCTCCAACACCAGCCGTTGGCCCCAAAACTGCAGGATTCAGCCTATCCGTGTGGATGATGCCGCTGATGTCCAACTGCCCACACTCCCCCTGCTCCCAGGGGGGACAGCCCAGACCCCAAGCATGGGATGCAACAAGGGCATTAGTCTCGCAGAAAACCAACACCACGATGGAGACGGCCCCCCAGTAGGAATAAAGCTATTGCCAACCTCAGCTTCGAGGTTCTTCCTTGTTGCTGCAAATCACCCCCAGCCGTGAGACAGCAGGGACATCGCGTTTACCCAAAAAGCGGGTGAATCTAGATTTTGCCAAGGAGCGTGCACATCATCCTGGGGCAGAAAGGGCACGGCCCCGAGGACTGACCCCAGTGACACTGTGGCGTATTAGTCCAAGTGATGCAGCCAGAAAGATGCTTTCAGGCCCTGTAGGATTCCTGCACCCAGACATGTTTCCCTGAGAATATTAGCAGGGCTGTTAAAATAGTCCATTTCCTGCAAGCCTCCCTTTTCCAAGCTTTCCTTTACCAGCCCCGCTCCTTCTCCGCCGGACCTGTTAATGCATAACCACGGGGTCATTTCCGGGGTTGCACCATGTCCCGTGAACATACCCCCAAGTTAATACAGCGTGGAGCTGAGCGACCCACAGCAAGGAAACCATACAACCTGCGGCCAAGCCCAGCAGGGTCCAACCGCCCGGGCCACCGCGGGAGCCAGGTGCCACCGTCCTGTACCCACAGCACGTCTGCTCCCGCCACCATCCTGTCCCCACAGCACGCCTGCAGCTGCGGTGGGCGAGAGCTGCCGCTGCCGCCGGGCCTTTTTTTTGTCTGCCCCCGGGCCCTTGGCCTTTGGCAGCCGTTTCTCAGAGCAGGAATTACGTAAGCAGCGTGCGCTGATGGATTAGCTGCGATCCTGCCCACCAGGGGCCAGGTTTACAGCTCCTGCTCCAATACCACGTTGGCACTTGCCCCGTAAGCCTGTTTCTCCATCTGTACAAGCATCCCAAGTCCTGTTTGCACTCTGTGGAGGGCAAGGAGAAACACTCAGAGGAAGCAGCAGTGACACAACCCCCCAAAGTGCCCTCGATCGCTCTCCACACCCCCTCTCAGGAAAGCAGGCGCTGCTGGAGAGCAGGGAAAGTTTACTCCGGATCACTAAGGAGAAGGAATGTGCTTGTGCCAACGGAACCCAGCCCAAGTCCCACTGCTGGTGACTCCAGAAGCGCAGCCACGTGTGAGCGTGACGACCCCCCGGCCCCCAGCCCAGCCCTTCGGCGGGCTCCCGGCTTCAGCCGGCGCATGCAGCAGCCGGCACCGAGATGCAGGGAGCAGCCCCCCAGGAATGACATCCCATGGCCCAGCTTTTGTTCAGCACAGCTTTCCAAGCCCGCAGGAGACGGGGCGGAGAGCTGGAGTTTGTACCCAGCTTTCGAAAGGGACAGCCCACGAGGAGAGCCTGCCCCTTCTGCTAGAAGGGCTTCATCTCGCACTGCGGCGAGACCAGGGAGGTCAGGAGCAGACCAGCTGGTCACTGCCCAGTGCAGCCAGGTTTGCCTAAAAGAGGTACTAGATCCCGAAGGCCATCCCAGCCAACAGGGAACGCCAGGCTCCAGCAGAAGGGGTTGCTGGCCCCAGGCGTGTGTGAGGAGACGGCAGCTGGAGGTACCAGTTTTCAGCCAGACTTGGCACAAACGCAGAGGCCAAGCAGCACAGCTGCTCCCCCGTCACTCCTCTTCCCAGGCAGCAGGATCCCTTTTCCCGCTGACCTCGCCCCAAGATCCCAAAGGCAGCACGTGCCCACCCAACACAGCACAGGCCAGGGAGGGCGCGTGCCCAGTCAGAGCGCGGCAGCTCCCAGAAAGCCCCAGCTCTGAACTGGGGATGGACATTGGCACCTTCCTCCTGCTCGCAGGTTTACAGTACTGGAAATTCTCCACTTGAGCCAAGACAACTCTTCCATGCCCACTTGGTCCACCAAGTCACTGTCCTAGAAGCCAGGGGGGATGGTTTAGTCCAGAGCAGGCAGGGTCAGAGCTTGCCTGAAGACACAGAGGCGCTCAGGGATTCCAGGAGATCCTTCTTCCTTCCCGTTTCGCAGGCAGGAGGAGCTACCCAAGTCTGCTCCGTCCTGCACACACAAAGGAGCACACAACCCTTTACTGTGATAGACTCTTGGTTTTATTCGTTCTCTCAGCAGAATAGTTTTTATTCATTTGCCTTTTCTGGCCTTGATCTTCCTCAAGTAGAACTCTAATTCCTTGCCTTCCAACACGTAGCCATCAGCTCGGCCACACTGTCCAGGTCTGGAGGCAATGCAGGCTGCAAGGAGAAGGCACCCAGTTAAGGTCTAACAGCTCACGACCCTGGTGTACACACCACGGAGAGAGACACTGCACCCACCCCCCCGCAAAAGCACGGAGGAGCAAGTGACCAGTGACAGATACACCCGTTTACATCCTGGCTTCCCAAGGTATCCTGCTCTGCTGGACCGAGTCCCTAGTGAAGTCCTCTTCAGATCTCCAAACTGTCATCGCTCAAGTTTCAGTAGCAGAACTGGACAAAGGTCTCATCACCAGAAGACTTCACCACACTCAACTATCCGCCACAGCTCGACGCTGCTCCGAGTCTGCGGGACGTTCTTCCGACACACAGTGCAGCCCCCAGGGTCTGGGCTCACTCTGCCAGTCTCCAGCCCCATTATTTTTCCTCAAAGGCCAACCAGGAGTGATTAACTCCAGCAGCCTGGCTAGGACATGCACCAATTCAAGCTCCAGAAATGGACTTGCCCTTCCTGCCAGGAGCAGGGTATCTCCAGAGAAGATGAAAGAACAAGCTACGTTTCAGACCCAGAAGATACTCCTGCAGATACTTTAACAATCCCAAAACCAGGATCTGCTCTGCCACCCTGTCTGTGCCCCAGCTCCCTCAGCCCCACCCAGATTAATGCTGCCAGGGACTCACCAAGCAGCTTTCCCTGCTGGAACTGCTCCTCGAGAATACTCGCAATCTTGGCGTTCTTCTTTCGCTCGTCGTATTTTTTCTGGATCTTCTTGGAACGCTTCTTGTTCAAGATTTCCTCCTCTTCAGGAGTCTAAAAACAGTGCAAGGGAAGACAAGGTGAAGCCCACGGCCACGTTCTGCGAGAGCAGGCAGTCTCCACTAACACCAAGGAGACCCCTGTCTTCTGAGCACTGCGCTGCATTTCCCAGCTCATTCCTCCCCGAGGTACAGATCCATCAGCCTCACAGAACCAGGTGCTGTTTCACCTCTGAGGCCGAGAAACGCGGCCTTGCTAACTAGTCACTACTGACAACAAAGCACAGTGCCCTAGGGAAGGGCGCTCTCAGACAAATTACACTGCACAGGCTTCCTGGAGGAATTAATCCTCCTTCAAGAGTGAACACTCTCTTTTCCCTCTCCAGCCACGGGCACGCTCGGGTGTGGTACAGGTCGTAGCAGAGAGGTTGCAAGCTCTCCCCGTGCTTCTAACTGCAGTGTCTGGATAAGACCTGCTTTGTCGTTAATGCAGGAGACAACCTTATGCCGAGCGCTACACACGGGGGTTTAAACACCTTCCAAGAGTCTGGGTGTGCATCTTGAAAAAGAGTAAGACGGGCCTAGTTTAGACACACTTAAGAACACTTAAAAGCAAGCTGAAATGTAGGTAGCAATCCACAAGCTTCTCGTCAGAGCACTCATTCCGCAGCACAAGGATCGATCTGCAAAGTCTTCCTCAGCATCATACGTGTCATCGCTCTCCCTTCAGTAGCAGAACTGGACAAAGGTATCGTCATTAGAAGACCAGAGACGGGCAGGCAGGTCCTTGTGTGCAAACAGGAGCTCGGAGAGAGCTCCGAGGTGCCAGCGCTCCATTAACAGAGCCAGACTTGGCCTGGGAGCTGACGGGAACGCAGCCCAGACAACCAATGTTACCCCTGACGGGCACTCGACCCTCTTCTGGCAGGCACTGTCCACCCCCGGCGCGTAACCGCCTCGGCCTCATGGAGCAATCCCCGACATACCAGTTTGGCGCCCTTCTTGCGCCCCAGGGGCAAGGCGTAGTGGGCCTCATACCACTGCCGGTACGGGGTGCTGTCGATGAGAACGATGCAGTTCTTCACCAGGGTCTTTGTCCGCACCAGTTCGTTGTTGGAAGCGTTGTAGACGACATCGATGATCCTGGTCTTGCGAGTGCAGCCTTTCAAAAGAAGAGCATGAATTCAAACCTACAGGGATCAGACAACTGAGAAGACAGACTACAGCGTTTCACACATCCTCAAACCATCTCATGCTCATCACCCCATCTGATGTCCTCCAGCTTCCCTGGCACTGAATTAATTAAGACATACATTCATTTTTCATCGGTCCAACACCCTGTTCCTAGGACAGAAACCTACACCTGGAAACTGATCCACCCCAGGTAAAATAATGGGATCTGTGGCCTTGCTGGAACTCGTCTCAAGTAAGACTAAGCAATCCTAAAAATAAATTCCTTGACTGGGAGATTCCTCAGCAAGTGCCAGTTAACACAGCAGCCAGGGCTCAACACCCTGCATGCTCCCGAGTTACTGAATTAAGCTCTGCAACATAGACTAGAAGCCATTTTTATAGGATGAGGGTTTCTGAGCAAACTGGGAAGGAAAGCTGGTGTTTTCCCCTTCAAGCATTCCGTCTTAGCTACTAGATTTCACCGTTTAGCAGCTGCCTGCCCTGGAGACACAGCCCTCCACATGCAAAGGCCAGGCACAGGGCTGGTTTTCTCCTCCCTGCTCACGTACCTCATCCTTGTTCTGCAAGGTTTGCTCAGCCCCTTCACTGCTGCAGCAACGCCTACGAATGACAGCGCTGATCACAGTATGGACAAGGCTCTGATTGCCGAGCAGAAAGCACATCCCTTCTCCCTGACATCAAGCTGGCCAATGACACACCGCCTTACTGACTGCTGGCTTTACCATCATGCCTGTGCTAAAGTTACATGGTTTCCAGCTTCTAATTCGGAGAAAAACACAATCTTGCTCAGGGGAAATACTACAGACCCCCTCTCCCTCCTGTGCTTTCTGCTTTCGCTTAGCAAAGACTGAGTATGAACTGCACATGGCAGGATGTCTCTGAGAAGGTGTGGCCCTAGGACAAAACCCTCAACATCTGTACCAGACCACCTCTTAGCAAGCGTTCATCAATGAACACAAGTTACATTTACTAAGAATTACCCATATTTAGGTTTTCTGCCCCTCTGTAGTTCTTTCCCAGTAAAACCATACTGCGAGCATGTCACTCAGTGTAACTATGACACTCCAATCACTGTGAACTTAGCAGACATCCCAGTCTTCTAAGGCCACATAAGGTCAAAGTTATCATCACTACGCATGCTGCTTCAGACCCGGTACTGCTCCGCCGTGTTCAAACCCAGCCTACACATCCACACTTGCATCACCATCCCCCTACTCGGTAGAAGTACTAGAGACCAGCACTTCTTCCCTCCCAACACATCAGGCTTATGACGTACTTACATTCTGATCCCCAGGAGAAGTTGCCAACATCCAACCGAAGGGCACGGTACTTCTTATTTCCACCACGAACCCTCACTGTATGAATTCTGCGTGGGCCAATCTAAGGTCAGAAACAAACACCAGGGTGTTGGTGGTGCCGGGACGCTGCACAGCTCGCACAAGAGCCCAGCCAAGTCCTAACCTCAAAGGCAACGTGGTCAGTGTAACTATGACAAACCCCAGCATCGGCAGACACAGTCAACGACCAAAACAGTCTGTTGTGGCTACCTAAGGTGAAAGTTTCATCACTCCAATTGCCTCGTATTGCAAAAACACATCACCGCTTTCCACAGGCATATGGAAAAACACCACCTTTTAAAGAAGCAGCGACAGATCTTTTAGCCACTCACAAAACACAGCATGTATTTAAGCCTCTAAGAGCAATCTGAGTTTGAAAACACAGCTACTGACCACCCACACATCACCCACCTTGGTATTGGCAGGAGGACGCCCCAACTCATACTTCCTCTTCTTGTGATAGGGCTTCCTCTTGCCCCCAGTCTTGCGACGCTTATGCCAGTTGTCCCTGGAGATACCTGAATGAAGAGCAGCGTGGTCAGAGCACGGCACGGAGCCCACTTAACCACGACAGGGCACGGTTCTGAGTCCTCAGCTCTCCAAGGTTGGTATCCGCACAGCACACTCGGCCTTATGCAGCAGTCAGAGAAGCTTCATCATCGATACTCAGATCCGCCTCGACCTCCCCCCTCCCAGCAGAGGTGTGCAAAGAGCGACTGCCCCCACTGTGTCTGACGGGTGTCCCCTGTGGGAAGCAGCCTCACGACCTACCTGATGCGCTGGGCGCCCTATGGGAAGCGCCCCATCCCAAGGGCAAGGCGCTCTATAGGAACACCCTACATTATCTTCTGTGCCTGGCCGAGCACCTACAGAAAGGAAACCCGTCCCACGTGTCTGCCGGGCCCGAGACACCCCAACAGAAACCCAACCTTCCGGGTACCCCATGAGGACTATCCCCCCATCACTGCTCATCTCCTGTTCCCCCTACACTCCCCCGCCGACCAACCACGTAAAGAGCCACCCTCCTGCCCTACAGAAGCC